GTATTCTTTCCGCATGGGTTGTTGGTAGATGACTCAGCTTGGGACTACGCCTGAATTTCTATGCACTCCTGTGGTGGGGCCTGACAAGAGAAAAATTCTGAGCTGTCCTAAGTTAACTTACAGTGGGCAGGAGAGTGAGAGGAAGAGACTAGAGTCTTTAACCAATTAAGAGCTGTGAGGCAACGAAGGGTAAACTGCTCCTATTCCTGGATGTATGTGAGAGCTTTCCATCGCCTTCTGGGGTGACTACCCGACCCCACGGCATCCCTCCCGTGATGAACTGTCAGGATTGTTGCCTGTAACCACTCAGAAGTAGTAAATATTTCTCACTGACAAACTGTGCACCTATCATAGACCTACCTCAGATGCATTTTTTCCTGCCCCCACTTATCTGTAGCTCATGTAAATTCTTTCAGAAAAACACATCTTTCTTCCCCCAAACATAATGTGTAAAACCGCCATCAATGCCAGGACAGTGGGCGTGTTTCTCTCTCCCTCCTGGCCCTGTTGCTGTGGTTTAGATTTCATCCAGGTCTCAACAAACCCTTTGTTTTAGAAAAGCTTGCCATGAAAGTTTCTTTTGTTTACAGGCCTAAAATAAACACACACAGCCCAAACCGGTTTGGCTCAGTGGATAGAGCGTTGGCCCTTGGACTGAAGGGTCCAAGTTTGATTCCAGTCAAGGGCACGTGCCTACCCCCTTCCCACCCTGGTCGGGCCCATGCGAGTGTACTCGGTCCCATCCCCTTCCCACCCTGGTCGGGCCCATGCGAGTGTAACCAATGAATGTGTCTCTCTCACATGGATGTTTCTCGCTCTCCCCCTCTCCCACTCTCTCTGAAAATCAGTGGGAAAATATCCTTGGGTGAGGATTAACCAACATATAATAAATACACACACAGACACACAGAGTGAAATCCTTAATGAACAGTTATATTCAAGTCATTTTCATTTCCTTTCTTTTATCTCATACCTAATTTTTTGCTCCTTTCACAGGTGATTTCCCAACCTTTACATTGGATGCCTTTGTAGTTTCCTATCCCTTTATAGGAAAAAATAGTCAATATATAAGCTCTCATAAGGCTGACACTATTGAATTTAATAATCTACAGGGAGACAAGAATCTAAAGAACATAACCATTTATGACAGGCAAGAAATCTCATTCCATTTACCTTTGCCATAGCTAGAAGTGATCTGATATTTCTGATATTATGGGGCATTTCATAATGTATTATCATATCAGAGGAAGGTTTCTTTGGTAGAAAGGCATTGCAAACTCCTTAGAGTAGCAACAGCTACTATTAATTAATATTTATTGAGGGTGTTTTTTTTATATGTGCTAGATGCTTAGTAGTCATTTCGTTTTCATCACAACTGTGAGGGACAGGAAACGTCCCCCTTTTCTTTTTAGTTCTTCTGGCTGATCTGATCATCACATTGACACGAGACAGATTAACGGGACAAAATAACCGAATTTAATGAGGGTTCTGTGAGAATAGGGGACCCCAGGACAAATCCGGTACCTGCGGCTTCTACCTGGCGTTCAGCTTAGGAGGGAGGGGAGAGTGGTGGTCTAGACAACAAAGGGAAGGTCAGCCTCACAGGTGGATGGGAAGGAGCACACATTTGGTAAGCACATTCTTGCCGGGCCACCCAGAAACAACGGTCACAGCGCGGAGTGGGACTCGCTGGGTTCTGCCTCTGCCAGTTCATAGTAAGCCACAGTTCCCTCTGATGGCATTTCCCTCCCTGGAGCGGGTCTTCTCTCTAAACTCTTGTAGGCAGGCTGAGGGGAGGTCACAGGTTCTTCCTGGCTCTTTTATTTCATTTTCTGAAAAACAACCAGCTTGAACATAATATTCCCCAAAGACGTGTTTTGCGATGGCAGACCCTCCTTTCCCTCGCAGCCACCACTGTCTTCATTTTGCACTGAGCAGAGTGAGGAGGCAGGAGAAGGTGAGCCGCCGCGCCCCGTGGTCAGGGCGGCGGGCTGGGGTTGGAGGCAGGCGGCCTGACTCACCCCGAATGAGGGGAAGGTGCGCACCTGCTCCGAGTCATTCTTCCCGGCCATGGAGTCAGCAGCGGTCAGAGCGGCACGGAGGTGCACTGTGTTCGCATCACAGCCACAGGGAGGATTTGGAAGGTGGGTCGCCTTGGCTTCTGAGTCAACATCCCAAGGAAAGGACCGTTTCCGCGTGGCTGCATTTTGAGTTTCAGGACAGCGAGAGCCTTTTCTCTTCCTGCATTTCTGGCTCGCCCTGAAGTTGCGGCACAAACCCCAGTGCAAGAAAAACATTTTTTTCTCATTTCATTCCCTTTTTCAACGTCATTTCAGTTTGGAGCTAAGAATTAGCTTAATCATCACCAGGTCTATGTCATCTATAGCAAAAGATGTGGATAAAAAGTAAAAATTCATTCAATTATATTGGCTGATTGGCATATCGTTACCAAATATCTTAATATTTGGAAGCAATGTTGTTGTTTTTTTTATTTTCATTTTCTTTTAGGTGATTTCATGTTTAGCTTCCCCTTTAATTTCTTCTGTACCTAGTAAGTGTCAGTTACTTTACCTCCATTATTTCTAGAATTATAGTAACTCTGTGAGGCAGGTGGTGGTAGTAGTAGTAGTAGTAGTAGTAGTAGTAGTAGTAACAGTAGTAACAGTAGTAATATTACACTAATTAAAAACTATAGCTTAGAAAAGGTAATTATTATGGTCAGGGTCACTTAGTAAGCAGTGGAGGCTTGACTAAAACTTGGATCTCTCGGGCTCCAAGTCACAACCCTCCTTACTTCTCTGCTCCCATATTATAATGATAATAACTTGCATAGACAGTTCATGTAAGATATCGCAAATGATGTCACATGGCATGTAAAGGCATGCCATCGTCCTACATATGGCATATTAGCTATTACAAAAGTGGTGGTCACAGTATCTCCATTCTTCCCCAAATCATCTAAGACCATGCCACTTTCCTGTAAGAGGTGAAATGTAATTACCCTTCTCTGAAACCTGAGCAGTCTTGTGCCCTGCTTGTTACCAAAATAATGTGGCAGAAGTAATGATGAACCAATACTGATACATTATTACTAACTAAAATTTATAATTTATATAAGGGGCCACTCTTTGTAGAGTTCTGTAGGTTTGACCGATGCATAATGCATGTACCCACCACCACAATATTTACAAAATAATGTAACCACCCTAAACATGTCCAGTGCTTCACTTACTCATCCCTTCCACCTTCCCTCAAGCCGTGGCAACTGCTAATCTTTTTTGCTGTCTCCAGAGTTTTGCCTATTTCAGAATGTCATATAGTTGGAATCACACAGTATGTAGCCTTTTCGGATCGGCTCCTTTAGTTCAGCAGTATGCACTTAAGGTTCCTCCATGTCTTGATACATCATTTCTTTTTATCACTGAATAATACATATTATATTGTGTGTACGTACCACAGTTTATCTATTCACCTACTGAAGGCCATCCTGGTTGCTTCCAAAGTTTGGATATGAATGAAGTGGTATAATCATTTGTGTGCAAGGTTTTGTGTGGCTATAACTTTTCAGCTCGTTTGGGTAACTATCTAGTAGTGTGATTGCTGAATTGTACAATGACACTTTCACTTTGTAAGGAGCTGCCTGTCTTTCCAAATGGCTGTAACATTTTACATTCCTATGAGTGATAATTGTGAGTTCCTGTTGCGCCTACATGAGATGAATTTTAGCCATCCTAACAGATGGGTAGCAATATCTCGTTTTAATTTACAATTCCTTAATGACATATGATGTTGAGTATCCTGTCACATGCTTACTTACCACCTTAATATCTCTGGTGACGGGCCTGTTCAGATGTTTTGCTCTTTTTTTATTTGTTTGTTTGTTTGTTTGTTAATCCTCATTGGAGGATACATTTTTCCATTGATTTTTAGAGGGAGTAGAAGGGAGAGAGGAAATAGTTCAAAATGGATTACAAACTTAACTGTAAAATGGAACTATAACATTTTTAGGGGGGGAAAAAACAGAAGAAAATTTTCAGGACCTAAGGTTAGGTAAAGTGTCTGTAGATGTGACACCAAAAACACAATCAATGAAATAAAACAAATTGAAAAACTGGGCCTCATTAAAATTTAATGTACTGGCTCTGAGGAAGACTCTATTAAGAAGATAAAAAGGCAAGCTGTATACTGAAAGGAAAGTTTTGAAAACCACATATTTGACAAAGCACTGGTATCTAGACTACATAAAGAATTCTCAAAACTCAACAATAAAGAGACAGCAATGCCAAAATACAAAACAGCAACAATGCCAAATGCTGGTAAAGCTGTGGAGAAACTGGATCGCTGGTATGCTTATTGTGAAAAAGTAAAAGGACTCAGCTACTCTGGAAAACAGTTTGACATTGTCCTAGAAAACTAAACCTGCAACTGTCTTATTTTTTTAAGTGAGAAATTTTTATTGCTGTTGCCATTTTTTCTTTACACTGACTCACAAAATATAGCAGAATGTCCAATTATTACAATCACTGATGCAATGAATCCATTATTAGACAGACACACTCTCAATAATCTGTACCAAGATGATAAAATGTAAGGAGTCTTTTTTCTAACTCTGTATTTTCTTTAATTGAATATGTAATATCTATGTCATTAAATGATTATAATTTAGTATGCAGGCTCCTATCCCCTGATGTTAAATTAAACCACTACATTACACACAGAAGAAAATCGGAACAGAAGAACCAGTAACACACTAATTGTCCTGTAAAATCATTTTATTTTCTGTTACATAAACATCTTTCTCAGGTAATGTTAACAGAATAACCTGTTATGGGGTTTTACAGTTTGGAACAAATATATTTTTTTAAAAACTTATCTCTATTATACAGAGTTGTGATATAAAAATGATTTATAGGCTATAGTTTTCAGAAAGCAGTTAGCTA